GTCGAGGCTGTACCATCGACCGGACGACGGCGTAGTGGGCGCAATTCGGATGGCCAATCTCCTCAATTAAGACGAGGGAGATGGAGTCGATCCTGGCACGCCGAGTCCTGAAGAGATTCGAACGTCGGAGGGAACGCAGGATCCCGGTGGAACGACCGTTTGGAACGCCGAGGAGGGTGTTATCCCTGACGGGGAACACCTCGAGGCCACAGTCCCTGAAGGCGGAACGCCGGGGAACGAATCGCTGGAGCCGGACGCGCCTCTCACACAGGCGGAACAGGAGGAGGACCTCCAGAGTGGAACTCCACTGATGCACCCGTCTCCTGTGGACATGTTTGGACTGGATTGTGACAAGTTCGTAGAAGAACAAGGACGCGTGCCTTGGATGAGGGCCTTAAAGGCGTTCCTTGAGGACGGGGCGTTGGCGCTCGATCTGCAACTAAGGGTCAGCGTGCTGAAGATGTCACCCCACTACGTGATGAGGAACGGAGTCTTGATGAGACTCGTTCATCTGGGGGCGCGGGCTGGTCCTGCGAGGACGATCTGCGTACCGGCGGTGCCGCTACCTTTCATCGAGACGGTCCTACACTATTGTCACGCCGACATCTTCTCGGCTCACCTGAGAAAGACAAAAACCGCTGACAAGGTTAGGCGGCACGCCTATTGGCACGGGTGGAAGAGAGACGTGGTCGAGTTCGTGCGTGAGTGTTCCATCTGCGGTGGTGGCAAGGGTCATAGGCCGTGGAGAACGTGGCTGATGCAACGGATGCCGGTACAAGACTTGTCTGGCCCGTTCGCGTTGCTCGTGGTGGACGCAATCGGCCCCCTAGTCGTGACACCCCGGGGAAACAAATATATCCTGGTGTTCGTGGATTATTTCACGCGGTGGGTCGAGGCGTTCGCTGTCGCGTCGCTCGACACAATTTTCTTCGTCAACACCATGATAGAGGGGGTCATCTGTCGTCATGGCGTTCCGGAACGCCTATTAAGTGATAGAGGATCCAACTTCACGTCGAATCTGGCCAAGTCACTGTACGAGACGCTGGGGATTAAGAAGTTGTATGGGGC